ATTCTCCTGGAACTAACAATATTCTAATTCAGCAAAGAAGTCACTTGCGTCCTTGCCAAGCACCCAAGGGCCTGCCATCTTCAGCCACTTGGACTTGATCTCATTTACCAGGTGGTCATGGGGAGCTGTGTGCTCTTCCCCTGCAGTGACACACCATGAGAACCAAGCCTGTGGGGACCGGCAGTGAAGAGCTCAACCTGTTTTACTCATGGACTGTGTGCAACTCAAGTTTATGTAGGTTATTTTCAGAAAGCCTGCACATCTTTGTGCATACTCGTTTGCATTTTGGGATGTTAGTTAAAGCCCTTATCACATTGTTACCTTTGAGTACTTTTTACGTGGAATTACTGGCAAGGAATTCTCCTGGTTTTTTGGTTTTTTGTTTTTCCTTTTTATGAAAATGTCTTAATCTTCTCTTTTAACCTTTTCACTTGGTGTAGAATTCTGGGTTGGCAGTTGTTTTGTTCAGAATCCAGAACCATGTCTTCCATCTCGGGCTTCCCTATCCTGAGACGTCAGCTGGTGGTGGTAGCCTGGCTTCTTTGAAGGGACTCCTCCTCCCCAGATGCAGATTGGACAGGGTACATGTAGTGTTCTTATGCTGTGTTGAGACCATGGGGTTTCCTGAATCTGTGGCTTTGTGTCTTTCAACAGTCTTGGAATGTTTTCTTCTGTGATTTCTTCATTTGCTGTTTTTTTTTTTTTGTTTTTTTTGTTTTGTTTTGTTTTTTTTTTACCATTCTCTCAAATTTCCTTCTGTGAGCCCATTTGGACTCCTGGTGGAATCCATGGTGTCTTCTGAGTTTCATGTTTTCTGTTATCTTTCATTATTTCATCTACATGTTCCATTGTGTTGATTTCTTCTGATCCAACAGTAATTCTCACTAATCTTCTTTTTCATTCTGCTGGATTTTGATTTTAAATTTAGAATCTACTATTTCATGAATTTGCTGCCAATTGTAGTATTTTCATTTTTCTGAAATAGATTGAGATTCTTTCCTGAATTTTACAACCTTGGCTTTTTTCCTACTTGAACACAGTAAAGCAGTTATTTTAAATTCCAACCAGTAGACTCCTGAAGTCTGATAGCTTATTTGTTCGTATTGTCTTTCCTCCTCGTGTGTTCTACTGCTTGTGTTCTACTTTGTCATGTTCTTACATTGGAAAAGTCCTGTGTAGAGGTGACACATTGCCTGGGAGCCTGTTTTCTCCCAGCAGTGCGGGGGACGCTGGGAGTCTGCCATTGGGCCTCGTCCTGGTCTTGGGGATTAGTACGATCAACTCCAGCTCCTTAGAGGTTTGGCAGGTGATAGCTTGCCCTGATTCCTACAGGATGGTCATTAGGATTCTGCCCCCAGAATGAGGGGCTCTCAGGCAACCTCGGTTGTCCCAGTCGCCTCTGGGGATGGCACTGGCAAGGAGTCCCAGGATGGCCATGTCTGTGCTCAGTGTCTGACCCACCCATTTCTCAAGCTGAGTTCAAAGCTGACTTCCCGGTTAAGAACAGAAAAGCCTTCTCTTCTGGCCCTGCCTACCTCCCCGTCTTCTTTCTGGGGACATAGAACACTTCTTTGACACAAGCTGATTGTGTGTGTGCAGATACCCCCACCCCACCCACCAAACGCCACTCTGAGCTTCGTCCGCGTTAAGGTGCTTTCTCTTTGCCTGCGTCTTACAGTGGCATCAGCAGATGGGCTCATGAACAGCAGTTGCAAGCTGATGTCCACCCTGGGCCTTGGCCCTCCTGCTGCATCCTGAAGAAGGTCACTGATGTCAGCCCTCTGGTTGTCCCAGATTGTCCTGCTGCCAGCGTGGGGGGTGCAGGCTCTCTTTGCCTGGATGTTCATTGAGGAAACTGCTACTTTGTATTTCCAGATTCCTGGGTGACCTGAAGTTTGGGGATGCCAGATCTCATCATATGGAACAGCTTTTGTGTGGTGTTCAGTGTGAGTTAAATGGGTTTATGAACTTGATTTATGTGAAAATCTAAAGGTAAATTTGTGGCCAAAGTCATACCTTCTTGCCAAGCCTGATCCTTACTCTGCAGGTCTTTGCTAAATACTTTGAAGTGCTCATCTAAAGCAGCAAGAGATGCTTTAGCCCATGTCCGAAAGGGGCATCAGGCGCAGGGGCTCTCGGCCTGTGCACGCCGTGGTGGTTCTGCCCGCTCTAGAATGGAGTCCTGAGTTCTCTGCTTCAGTTGCCTCAATGCATGTGACATTGTTCCTACTACTTTTTGTTAAAATGAGTGCAAGAATTCTTTCATGCCATCTTAAGATGTATATTAACTTTATGTGGCTATGACAAAATACCTGAGATAATCAAATTGTCAGGAGGAAGGATCTCTTTTGGCTCATGGTTTCAGAGGTCCAGTTCCTGGCCACTTGGCCCTATGGCTCTGGGCCTGCAGTCAGGCAGCAGATCATGGTGGGGAGCGGGTGGTAGAGCACAGTGTAATTATAAACTCTACACTGGCTGTCCTTTGGGGCTCCGTGATGGGTCGTGATGCTTGGTACCCTGTGGCCAGGGTTAGTGGTGGGAACTGATGCCTGTCAGTGCTCCATGTCTGCTCAAGTGGTGGCCTCGTGCTAGTAGCCACCACACCTCATCCAGTGGCTCCCAGGGCAGCTGTTGGAGTCCTCTCAAGGCCCTTTGCCACATGGATCCTCTCACTTGTCTTTGAGAGCAGAGCTTTCAAGGAGTCCCACATGAGCTTGTCTTTGGTCACCCAGGTGCTAAAACTGAAGTGTAGGTCCCAAGGTTTCCAAAGGAAAATTAAAAGCTTTCTAGAGGGTGTGACTTTGGTCTCCTATGGCACCAACCCCAGGGCAGTTGAGGAGCCGGGTGGCCCTGAGCTCTGTCCTCGGTGGGCTGGATCCGGCCCTCCTGAAGTCTCACGGGGACCTGGTAACACAGAGGTTAAGACCTGGTCTCCCTTCCCTCCTGGAACCCACAGTACCATGTGGTGATGCTCAGCAATCAGTGAGCAGGCCATTACTGGACTGCAGGTGACAGACGAGCTGCCATGGAGAGGTGCCAAGGTGGGGAGCACATGTGGGGTCTGGACTTCTACGTGGGGTCCTGGAGTCTCCTTGAGAGGCAGCATTGAATGAGAGCTGCTCCGCTGGAAGGGGCTAGAGAGAAGGGCAAGTGCATGTTGGAGTCGTAGAAGGGAACCTCCCAGTGGCTCTGGGAAAATCTGTGCAAGGCCCCATGTGCCCTCCCTGAAGTCAGGGTTGAGGGCAGGACCAGGACCAGCACTCTGAGATGTGTAGGCATCGGGGAGCCACTCGGTGGACAGCCTAGGACCGCCATCTTAGGGCTGTTGCTGTGTGTCACCCTGGCTGTGGCATGCAGAAGGTGCCAGAACAAGGACTAGACCATCCAGTGACCTAGGCAGGGGGTGAGAGGAGTGTCAGTGGTGGGGTGAGAGTCGGGACTGTATGTAGGCTGAGGAAGGTGGGTAGAGGGCAGTGCAGAGACGACTCTAACTAGGTGGGGGTCCAGGAGGAAAAGCGGCCATGGCCGGGAGCACAGCCTGGCTTGTGCCCCTCCATGGCATGTGGTCCTGCGTGCCCCTCATTCCTCCCTCCTGCCATGCCCCTCACCCTCATCACTGTGCTTGTGGGCTCTTGGGCTCCATTTTCCAGCCCAGAAACACAAATGGCTCCCTGCAAAGCCAGTCAGCCAGGAGCTGGTGGCCGACGTCATCCTACCTGTCATCAGATATGAACACAGAGGCAATAGGAGACCTGGGGCATGATTGGAAGAGTGTCTCCTGCTCAGAAGTACGAGGCGGAGCACTGTGGCCTGCCCTCTCTGCTCTGCCCCTTGCTGCTCACTTGGGGAAGGTGGGGAGGCCTCAAGTCTGTACGACGCTGCGTCTGCGGGCAGCAGGTCGGGCGCTGCCCGTGTGCCAAGTTTGTATCTGGAGTCACACTGCACCTAAGAAACAACCCTCAGGGTCACCTTAAGACTATGAATTGATTCTTTAAGTAAACCACCACAGAAGACTCTCACAGGAAAGACGCACGAGGAAGTGAAAGTTTCTCTCACTGGGAATTTCTTGGTAAATATGCAAACAGATGTACTAAATTAAGATCATAGATTTAAAATGATCTCAGATACCTCACTTCTTAAGCACAGAGGATGCGTTCTATACGGTATAAAACAGGCTACTGGGCATTGGAAGTTGTTTTTCAACATTTTTTCCAAAAGAAAAACAGTTATTGATTGGAGCCCTCGAGGTCCTTACTTGTCTAAAGTGGCAACATTTCAACAAGAGCTACACTGGACACCAAAGCCACTGAGGGTGCCTTCCCAGCACCACCGCCTGACCCGGCGGCCAACGCCTTGGGTCTCGCTGGTGGGCCAGGGCAAACAGCAGACCTCCGTGCCAGAGATCCATGGGATCAGTCTACACAAAATGTGCACTTTTCAAAGCAACTCTAGTGCACGTATTTTCATTTTCAGCTCTGTGGCGTTTGCTTCGAGTCTCATCCTTGTGGACAGAAATTATTTTCTTTAGTTATGACTGTTTTTAGTGATTTCATGCAGTGCCGCTTTCCTTCTGGGCTGACCCAAGTTGGCCTGTGCTAATACAGGTTAAGTTCTCCCAGTTCCCAGGGCCGCTGTGAACCGGCAAGTCCTGACTTTCCCTCAGCCTCAGTGGTGCAGAGAATGGCCTGCCCCAGGCTTGGAGGCCGCACCTCACCACACAGTGGTTTCTGAAAGGGAAACTCTGTCGGGATCCAGAGCAACACCCAGATTCTACAGAGGGCAGTGGGGCTGCTGCTGCGGGGACCTGGGCCCGTGAGGAGTGCAGGCTGGGCTGGGGGAAGGGACAAGCCTTCATAGCTGCTGCCCACACTGCTTAGAGCCATGCCAGGCTCCGAGGGCAGTCCCACCCTGCTGCAGCACAAGCCTCCTGCCCGGTGATGGGGAAGGGCATCAGCCCCAAGACGAACAGTGACGTATTTAGGTTCTTTTGGTGTCTGCAGGTCATTACTGGACTTAGAGCAGCTGGACAGATGGTCACAAAGCTACCTCAACAGATGGAGAACCAAGCACGTGGCCCCACCCTTCTTGAGGGCCAAGAAGAAACCCTCTCTGGGAGGGAGGCATGGAATTCAGAGGAGGTACCCACAAAACCGTCTGTGGATGGTCGTGGAGCAGCCAGAAGTTCTGATTCTGAGTGGGAGGGAGGGCCCGCGGGCTTGGGGCTAGGGTTTCAGAGACCTGGGACAGCGTCGCCTGCCACCGTGCTCCAAAGGAGAGTGGGGCACTCTCCCTTCCTTGCTGTGCTCGTGATGCTGCAGACCCAGAGCCGGTGAATGCGTGGGTGGAGGGCACCACTGGAAGGCCTGTACCACCCTGGCCAGCTTCCCCGTGGGGCAGGAGTGATGACCAGTGCTGGTGGCAGGCAGTGTGTGACCCTTGCCAGCCGTGTGGGCTGCACACGCTCCGTGGTGGGCCAGGGCAGGTAGCATGCGTTCCTCCAGCACCTCCCACCTGCCAAGCTGGCCTCTTTCCTGGGAAGGTTCCTCTTGCAATTGAGACACAGAGACAAGCACAGGTGTTTATCTTGAACCCTGAACTGCGTGTGAAAATGTAATCAAAGCCTCAGAGCCTGGGGGATGCACTTCATAACATTTAATGACACCTGTGGGGTGAGATACAGCAGTTGAGCGCCCGGTTGCGCATGCGCATGCCGACCTGGCTCAAGGCATGTGGAGGAAAGCCGTAATTGACTGTTAAGTCCCCTTAGAAAGAACCATAACATCCTTAGTATGAAGGAAATGTTCGTCATAAGGTCCTGAGGTTTTATTTCAAGCTCTCGCAAGGAAGTAGTTTGGATTCGTGTGTTTTTGTAGAAAACTTAGTTTGATTGAATTTCACGCTTTGATATATCTATTTCCCGAACTTTATGAAGTCCCAGTGTGCCTCAGGGTTCTAAAGTAGCAATTGGGAAAACCCTGGGTTGGTTGGATAAAGTCGGAATGGGACCCTTAATCGCCAGACTGTCCAGGCCCTGGAGGCAGCGTGCCCTGGCATCCTGTGATGTCCCAAACCTGGTGGGCATCCCATGTGACCTTGGGGCCTGCAGAGTACAGTTTGAGAACTGTGGGTGTATTTTAATGGAAAGTTTATGTAATTAAAAAAATGTGAAATCTGTAGGAATTGTTTGTGTGAGGAGCTGCCTTCTGAAGGTCAACCATCTGCACAGAGCAGCGGTCCATGGGGGACTCAGAGTTGGGGTCGATTGTGGTATGTTTTGGGTTGGGTAATACAGTCAGAAGATAAACGGACACTCTTTCATTCTGGAATAAAGGGTCTTGGCCTTTCCTGCGTGGTGTCTTGGAGACTTGGGGCTGCCTTATGTTTGCTGGATGCCATCGATAGAACAGGTTGCCCTGGGAAAGGTACCCAGTGCTCTCCTCTGTAAGCTCGTCAAGAGTGCAATGCTTCCCAGACCCCACATCATCATTACCGTTACACGGAGAACTCCTACGCACTCCATGGTATAAAAATGTCATAAAATTTAAAGTAATTTTCCTAAAACTGCAGAGGAGCAGCATGCTACTCTGCACTCTGCCGTTCTGACCTGTGCCACAGCTGGGGGCTAGAGGCTGGAACCCTCTGGGAAGAAGAGGGTGGCCGGGCCACAGTGCTGCAGAGCCTGGGGGAGCTGCCAGTTACTCCCGTTATGTCCCATCAATTCATGACGGCCGTCACACACTATTGCAGGACAAGGAGGGGGGTTCTTAACCAGCCTCGTGACTTGCAGACCTCGTGCTTGATGACTTGTACAAGCCGAGGAGCACAGAGATGAACCGGTTACACCCACTGGAAGGCCAGCTGGCCTGATTCTCCTGCTGTCCCCCTGGCATAACCATGAGATGCAGGACTAGGCTGTGGTCCTGTGGGAACGCAGTAGGTTTCCAGTGCTGCAGGTAACCAGCAGCGTCTCCTAGGTGTCTGCAGACATCCAGATGCAGCAGGGAAAGGAGGGAGCTACCCTCCCTGTTTTCTTCCTATGACATGTCCTGGGGCACGCTCCTGACCAGAGTTAAAATGCCTCCCTTAGAGGTACACTGAGATCCTTGTTCCCTGCTGGAGCCCCAGGTGTGGGGAGGAGATGGCAGTGACCAGAGCTTCCCCGACCCCTTTAGCCTTTGAATGTTGGCCCTAGGCCTGGTGGCCATCCTGAGCCACCGTGGTCCACCTGTCCCCGGGCTGCTTCTCCCAGGTGCTTTGCCTCGGCAGCCATCCAGTGAGATTGTTCCTGTCCCGGTCCTGGAATCTGTGTGTCTTTGAGCCCTGGCAGTGCCAGGAGGCCTCTTGCACAGCATGAGGAGGGCGATGGCATCGGGGTGGAGGGGGCGCTCTGCTGCCTGGCTCATGGCAGGCGTCATGCACTCCAGCGCTGTGGCAGGAAGCCCTGCGCGGTTTTCACAGTTGGCATGCTCCTGGGACACCCGCCCGTGTTTGCTGAAAGACGAGCATGAGTCCTCCATCATCGGGGCTGACGATAGTGACCGTTAGCACGGTGAGAACAGGGTAGCCTTCGTCCCAAATACTCACCCAAAATTGTGCCCCCAGGCCATGCTCCCTCTGCTTTATGTCATAAATGTGAGCATCACCTTCCCATTTCCCGACTGTCCCTTGTGTGGGGTGAGACGTGCCACGAAGGTGCCTTGTCACCAAGATGGTGTCCCACCTGGCAAACTGTAGATGCAGGTTCCAGTTTCCTGAGATGTGCTGGCTGTGGCGTTGTAATGTTTGAGCTGCTGATGTCAGTTGTACGAAGCATCCTTACACATACCACACGTAAAGCTGCTCTTACTGAACGGGTTTTCCCTGGTAGGCTGCTTCCCCTCCTCCCCATAGGGGTTCCCCAGTTCTCAGTCTGTTTCCCGGCTGCAGACGACTGTGCAGCTCTGAGAGAGGTCACCCATCCTGAAAATTTGCCAGAATGAGGGATTCTAGAAGGATCGGTAATAAGCATTATTTTAAAAAACTCTGTTCCTAAAGTTTTGCTCTGCAGAGGACCCTATGGAAAGGTCAAAATGGAAGACAGTACTTATAAACCCACATCTGACAAAGGACTCGTGTACAGAACATGCAGTGAGCTCTCTAAACAGCAAGAAAATAAACAAACTGGGCAAGAGATTGGCGCAGACACTTCATCAAAGGAGATGTTCAAGCATAAGCACATGAAGCGATGCTTGCGGGTAGCTGCAGGGAAGCACGGATCAGGACCGGGTGGTGCCACCCCGCGACCCATGCTCCCTGGGAGGCAGCGTGGCTCTTTGCTAGGAAGTGCCCCTCCTGCCTCCACTGCCATGGCAGTCATCCCCCGCTCTTCATCCTAGAGAAATAAAAACAAGTGTCCACACAAAAACCATATGCAGAGATCCAGAGTAACCTGATTTGCAATGTCCCCAAGGTGGGGACAGCTCAGATGTCCTTCCAAAGACCAAAGGGAAACGGTAGTCCACCCATGAAATGGAATCCTTGAAAAGCTCAATAAAAAGCAACGAGCTATTAATCCAAGGAGCGACCAGAGGATCTAAAGGGCGTTGTGTTGAGCACAGGAAGCCGTCCTTGCTTCAGGACTCTGTGTGCTTCCAGCTCACGAGATGACAAACTAAAAGTGACAGAAATGAGGTCGGTGGTTGGTAGAGACTGGGACAGGGAAGACGTGGCCACTGGGTGGCATGTCCTTGTGGACTGAGCAGCTCTGTGGCTGGCATATGCACCTGGATGCGGGATGATGTCTCTTTTAAAAGTGTACTTTTTTTCATTTCATAAAAAATAAGTATCAAACAAGTGGTAACCTCTAAGAAGGTATGGCTCTTGGTTGGCAGTGTAATATCCTCTCAGCTCCCAGGGCTTGACTGTGAGGCTTCAAAAGGTTTTATCATCCAGGAAAACTGAATGAAGGAAAGAGAAATGCCTCTACTGCAATATTTTTGGATGATTCTTAAATTTTAAAACAAAGATTTTTTAAAAAAAGAATTTATTTCTACTTTTTTATAGCAGTCTTGTGGGGGAGAGGACCAAGAAAATGACCAAGAGTGGGGAAAGGTTTAGTTTACTTCTGTGATCAGAAGTCCGTTTCAGAGGCGTGGGGAGTGTGTGCATGGAGATGGGAGCAGCGGTGGTTCCTTGTAAAGAAACAGTCCCAAACCGGAACATGATGTCATCCCCTGCAATCAGAGGAAGAAAGGGCACTCCCGACTAGGAAGGCATGCACAGAGTGGGATGCTGCTCATTTGGGCCTTCTGTGATTTGCCTTGTTACCTTGTGTTTAAATGACTTAAAAATTTGGCCACGAAGAGCCAGAGAGAAAATGTCCAAGTGAATATCAGACTTCCGTGTACACAGCAGGTCTGAAGGTTGTGCAGGTATGAAAACCAGAGAACTTCTTCCTGACGTTGATCACATTTGAAACTTGTGCTTTCTTAATTCAGTCTGTTATTGACAGTAATATATTTTAACTCGAGAGCGTGTTCGCTTAGTGCATATTGACTCAGCTTGTTAAAGCATCCGCGCTACATGTGAACATTGGGTTTCCTGTCATGGTGACTTACGGCAGGAGGACAGCGGTGAGTGATTCCTGCCAGTCGAGGGCTTTCACTGGAACCCCACTTGAATGGTAATCATCTGCTCCTGTAATTGCTGTGGAAGAGGATAACCCTCTGGAGGTTTTGCATCTAATCATTTATTTATAAATCTGTAGATGGCAGTCTGCAGAAGACGCGTCAGGGGTCAACTTTGTGCTCCAAACAGTTGCCTGATGTTTACACTTCACAGTGTATTTTTTTAACGGTACCTTCAGCCCCCATGATCACAAAAGGACCCCGGCTTGCTGGTGGCTGCTCAGAGCCGCATCCCATGGCCCAGACACTTCATTACCGGCACTCGGCAGAGGCCGGTCCCCTCTGTATTAGCTGAAATATGCATGTTTTTCCATCTCATTAATTCAGTCTACATACAATTAATTTTTGCCTATTAATAAACCCCTTGGTGTTAGTGACAGCTATCTAAACCACTTCACCTCGTGTGGAAGGAGAAAGTGCTGCTGCCTTTCCCACCCCTCGCCTTCCGCGCTGGCTTTGTGTTGGGACAGAGG